CTGTAACTTGAAACGCGGGTCAGCCACATGGCACATATGTACACAGGCTTTTCCAGTGCTTTCCTAAGATAGCCATCGATCTTCTCAATAATCTGGGTGGCTGGGGAGATGAGTTGGCTTTGGTCATAGAGGCCTTTTTGGACTGTCTTGGGGTGCTTGACTAGGACCATGTATACCGGAAGCGCCGAGTTCAAAGAAGGGTATAGCGACTTAATTAACATGTGTGTGGCAAGACTTAGAGGCTCGAGTAGCTTCATAATATTGATCGTTTGATTCCATTCGTCTTCGGTGAGTGAAAATTGCCTAGCATCTTTGTTTTCACGGATATACTGAGTACATGACCGCTTTAGTTGTACAGCTCGTTGGAGCATTTCAAAGGTTGAGTTCCATCGAGTCTCCACATCAAGTATAAGGCAGAATGTATTCTTTTTGTATTGTTCCAATTGGACTCCTTGAACAATCTTCTTGAATCACTGTCGGTGTTGTGGGGATGATTGAATGTGGACACTAAGCCCATGAACTCGTTTCAGAACAGTTTTCAAGTTAACATGGATTCCATCAGGTTCAGAGTTGATGAACAAGAGGTCCATTGCTGAAGTTGAAAGTGGCTCGTCTGTATTTTCCATCTCGTCAGAACCCAAGAAGGCAAGACCTGCTTTCAGAACCCAAGAAGGCAAGACCTGCTTTAGCTGCCAAATTGATAACATGTGCGACACATCCAAGAAGATGTTTTCCCGGTTTGAAGCTTGGGATCAACTCTGACAACTTCCTAGCCATGGTATTGTTGGTTGATGCATTGTCAGATGTGATTGTATGTAGTTTTTTTGAGCAATCAAATCTTTTCAGGACACCATCAAAGAGCTCGGCAAAGTTCTCCCCGCTATGTGGACCTTGGTAATGATCAATAACAGAGATGGAAAGTGAGAATCAGAACACAGCCACAATTTTATTGAATGATGCTCACCCTGAACGTAGGGAATTGACAAAGTCAAATCCTTCATTTCAAACTCATCATTGATAAAGTGTACAGTGATTTGGAGAAGTCCAAGCGTCTTCGGTGAATGAGAGGAATTTTTGGGTGGAAATACACTGCATCTTGATGATTTCTGAAGTTTGGATATACACTTTGGCAAGGTGAGAGGAAATGCACGTTTTTCCAAAAGAGTATGTGTTGCGATTGAGAAGGTGAAGGAGATCCCGGAAAGACTTATGCTCAACCAACAAAAAAGGAAGGTTACACTTGGCCAGGAAATACACAAGGGCATCTTTGAGTGTTTCTAGATTCATTTCAAGCTACAAAGAGTATTCATGTCAGAGTTGAAACCATCACATTTTTCCTAATTAAAAATAGAACTACCTGAGGCGTCATCTTAGAACCCTTGGTGTTCTTGTTGACATAATTTGATAGAGTAAGCTGACCACTATTTGATGTTGCCTTGTTTGGATTTTCCAAGTGGTGGATCTTTAACAGATGATTGGAATAGTTACCAGTACTTCCGGTCTTATCCTTCCTCATTGTTTGGAGGCATTCTTTGCCATCTTTCAATGTTACATGACAAGTTACCTCACTACCATCATTGGACTCGGTGAAGTGTGCCCAGATCCAACTTCTTTTTGAGGGTCAGGTTTGAACTTTGGCAGGAAGGGAGGACTGCTCTTCATCATCGATTTCAATGATTGGGTTTTTTGAGGTGGATTGTGAACTTCTGGTGTTTTCTTTTGGCATGAGTTCTAAACTGATGATGTTGAAATAAAGATTGGATGGGATTTTTAACTTGTGCTAGTTGAAGGAAAGCAAGTAAATTTTTGAGAGGGAAAACAATTCATATGTACAAAAAACAAGTTGCAACTACAGTCTAAAGAGAAAAAAGATTCCGATATTGCTCCCCAAGATCTCATTGGTCCTCAAGCGATGATCATTGAGATGCAACCGGTAACTAAGGGCAAGCTCAAAAGAGATTTTCTCTGAGGAGCCATGTTGCAACTTGCAAGCATTGATGATTTGGTTCCAAGCTAATTCACCCGGGTGATTCACCTGATTCACCCAAAGCACACGGGTACGGGTGCTCGGTGCTGGGGATATGTCAATCCGAACACACGGGTGGCTGCCCTACAGGCTCCAAGCGCTCGAAATGTGTAAACTTTTATTGAAGGAGTTTTGGGTCGGGTTTTCCGGAGATGCAGTATGATAACTAGGGTTCAAAATGGTTCATTCTCGATATGACAATCGCGGTGAAAATAAAGGTGAATGCACGGAAAATTGATCTCATGGAACGGAGTGTGAACAAGGGTTCAAGGTGCCTTTCTTTCACCGAGGGTTTGCAGAGCGCCCACCTGTGGGAAACCCAAACTACCATACTCAAACGCAAGATAAAACAAGGAAATAAAGCACGCTACAGTACAGCTTTCCCACCGAAAAAATATCCTCCCTGTGTTCCCCCCTCCCCCTTCAATTTGGGGTCCAGTCAACCTCCCTCCACCCCCCTTCAAGTCTCCAAGTCCCCTCTCGCCACCCTGCCCTGAGCCCGAGCCCGTGCCAACCCCGCTCCACCCAACCGCTCCCCGACCGAGCCGCCTCAACACCTCAACCGGTCAGCACACTCCGGCTATAGCCATACTAAATATGTACATAGCCAATCTGCCCGGCCCTTACACACCGAGCTTCCCTAAACCAAGCAAGCAAGCAACCCACCACCCCAATACAACAAGAGTCTCCCAACAACTTAGGCCATCAAGATCAACCAGTCCTACGATCTAAAAAACTCGCTCGCAAGCCCTATCATCACTCACACATCTCATCTCAACCACCATCGAACCATGTCCGTCTCTCAACCTGCAGCCAGCTCGACGGAGAAACACATTGTCAAGGATGCCCATCCATTTGATCGCAGCCATCTCGAAGGCTTATTATCAAACGTTTCTATTATGCTCCCGCTTTCGAACACTACAGAGGTTAGTCCCTCAAAAAAGTTAAGGCTTGTGTGAAACATGCATGTTAATTTTTCTTTTGTTTGTCATCTAGGTGTCGCTGGTCTGTTAGTCTGATGGACACCGTCGTCGCTTCATATGCCGAGAATCTCCCTCAAATCTACGCCCTCTTCGCCAAAACTCTCCAGGATCCCAAAAGTCTCGAAGTCCGTGTGACCACCGTCCAAGCCCTCGGTCGAGTTGCCGAGTACATCGAAGTTGATGAGGAAGCTTCCATTGTGCGTGATCCACTCAGCCGAATTTATGATTCAGCAGCTGTTGACCGCTGTCTCATTCCTTCTCCCCTTTGTCCCCCCCCCCTAGGCCTCATTCCAGGCGATGATACCCCAGATGCTAGTCGTCATTGGCCTAACCTTGTAAGCCGGTGATGAAAATGCTGCCAAGAAAGGATTTGACACTTTGGAAACGCTCTTGATCATCGAAGTCCCTCTGATCAATGCTCATTTCACCCAAGTTGTCGAATTCAACGCTACCATCGGCAACAATAAGTCACTCGACGAATCCCAACGAATAATGACCCTCAACAGTCTTCTTTGGACCATCAAGTTCAAGAAGAGCAAGATAGCTTCGATGGACTTGATTAAACCTATCGTCGACTTTTTGATCACCATTGGTGCCGAAGATGAGCCCGAGGACCCTGAAGATGATTCGGTGGCTAGAGTAGGTTATCTTTCATTTGCCAGTCCAGTGTTTCCGATTACTGATGTCTAGTTATCTGTCATTCCACCTACAGACAGCCTTCCGATGTCTCGATGCCCTCTCTACCTCCCTCTCTCCCCAAGCTGTCTTCCCAGCACTCTACTCTCGAATCCAAGAATGCTTCCGCAGTACCGATCCCACCTTACGTAAGGCTGCCGTTATGGCTCTTGGAGTTACTGTCGAAGGCTGCTCTTTGTTCATTCAGCCACACATCGAACAGCTATGGCCCTTCATCGACACAGGTTTGGAAGATAGCGACCCCCGTGTCCGACGGGCCGCCTGTACCGCTTTGTCCTGCATATGCGAGATGCTGGTAGATGAATGTGCCAGTCAACACCAAATTCTCGTTCCCCGGGTTTCCGCTTTACTCAATGACCCTGCTTGCCAGAGGAACGCAATGACATCTCTCGATGGTCTCTTAGAAGTGCTTGACGACCAAACGATAGGGCTCTACCTGTCTTGTGCCTATGATCGATTCCGCTCCTCCGAAGCTCAAGGGCACTGTGGTCGGTGCGATTGGCTCCGCCGCTTACGCCGCAAAAGGCGCATTCGAGCCTTACTTCGACGTTTGTATGCAACGGATCACTTCTTTTCCTTTCTCTCAAAGGCGAGGGAGACAAGCAGGAGTTGCGGGGTGTCGCTCAAGACACTGTCGGTACTTTGTCTTCTGCTGTCGGCAAGGAAAAATTCAGACCTTTCCTGGATGGCTGTCTTAACATTGCTTTCGAGGCGATCGAATTGAATAGCCCAAGTCTACGTGAATGTTCGATGATTTTGGTATGTCTTCCCCTTCCAGTCTCTGAGTTGGTGATATAATAATAACAACCACTTTTCACGTATTTGCAAAGACGCCCGATCTGGAGAAATTTTATCCTTCCTCACTTCTAGAAACTGGCTGGGATATCATCTTTTTTTGGGTAGCCAAAATGACGATTCTCGGTGTCAAACTTACCGGGAAAATGCCGTTCAGTGAAGTGTTTTGCCATGCGATGATTCGGTATGCTCACGGAAGGAAGATGTCGAAAAGTAAAGGAAACGTGATCGATCCGATCAATGTGATTGATGGAATCACACTTGATGCGCTGGCTAATCAATTGCAAACTGGAAATCTCGATGAAAAGGAATTGAAAACCGCTCTCGCTGGTCAAAAGGCAGATTTCGGTAAAACTAACGGAATCCCACCTTGTGGTGCTGATGCCTTACGATTTGCGCTCTGCGCTTATACATCTTCTGGTTAGCAAACAAAAGAATTACAAACGTGTTGATTTGTTTTGAACGCTGACATGACTGCTTCCTACAATGTTAGGCCGTTCAATCAATCTCGATGTTCTTTGTGTTGAAGGTTATCGGAAATTCTGGTTAGCTACTACTACTCACTCACTTCAAGCAAGAACAATTAACCCGCATCTGTCCATTTAAGTAACAAGCTCTGGAATGCGACCAGATTTGCTCTATTGAAACTAGATGATGGCTTCACCCCTCGATCCTCGGCTGATGTAAGTGATTATATATATATATTCTCTTGCGTAATTGTTAATTTGGAGTATCACATCGATGAAAATAGCCCAATGGAAAGAAGACTTTAGTCGAAAAGTGGATTCTGCACAAGCTAAATGAATGCAGTCTGAACGTCAACAAAGCTCTAGAAGACCGCTCGTTCATGGCAGCCACCTCTGCGGCCCATGAATTTTGGCTTTACGACTTGTGTGACGTCTACATTGTAAGCCGTTATATTTCTTTGCCTGACCCGAAGCCAAGGACCTTTTACACGATGTTAACTTATATCCGAGTTTGTTGCATATCTCCCTCGGGTGATGCCAGCGGTCTTTGCCAGTCTTGGGCAATCTGAAGAAGATGATGGTTCGGTCTTGCCAAGTGAAATGATCAAGGGATTCAAAGCTGCGGACGACGACGAAGACGAGGCTGACAGCGATTTTGAAGAGTCATCAGCGACTGGTGATCTCTCAGAAGTTGAATCGAACTTGATTGGCTGTGCAGCCGATCTAGTGGGCACCTTCGCAACTGTTCTTGGGGCTGATTTTGCGCAAGCATTCAATCAATTTCTGCCCTGTGTCTCGAAGTACTACGATCCGTGCTACTCACCGACCAATTGGAACAACACGATTGGCTCATTGGCAGAGGTTATCAACGGCCTTGGGTCTGCAGTTGGCCCTTTCACCGAGCAACTCCTACCTCTCGGATTGAAGGCGACCAAGGACGAAGACGTTGAAGTCAGGAGCAATGCTGCCTCCTTTTTGGGATCGTTGGCTTATTGGACTACTGTCGACATCAGCAGCCAGTATATGAGCATCCTGGAGTGTCTTCAACCCTTGTTCACAGTCCCCGACGACTCGTCCCGCGAGAAGAGTGAACACGCCAAAGACAACGCTGCTGGTGCGGTCCATGATCTTGAAAAACAAAGCTGCTTTGCCATTAGACCTAGTCAGTAGTTTTGTTTTCCAATCTGATAGTCGGTCAATAGCTGAAACCGCCCCCCCCCATTTGAACAGCTCTTACCGGTCTTCTTCGAGGCTTTACCACTCAAACAGGACTTTGCCGAATCCAGCAAATGCTTCGAAGCCTTGTTTGAATTGATCCAACAGTCACATCCGTTGGTCCAGACTCACTTTGACCACATCTTGGCCGTCTTTGCCCATGTTCCCCAGAACTTGGTGCCCGCTGTTCCTGAAGAAAAGGTGATGATTCCTGCCGAAACTCGCAAAAAATTGGTGGCTCTGTTGCGAGTAAGTTTGTTTATCTCCTTTGAATGTCTTTTGGTTGATTTATTGATATGTTGTGTTGAGCTTAGCAACTCAATTCCCAAGTCCCCGATCAACTTGCCGCCCGTGGCTTGACTGGCTACATCCAATGATTTTCTCTCTTGGCTTCTTTGGTCACAGAACAAAAAAGAAAACTCGGGCTAAAAAAATAGTAGGAAACTGTGATGACATGATCGCCCAATTGATTCATGTCCACTTCCCCCCCTCCTTCTCCCTCGATATCGGCTTTCTAATGATTCATGGCAAACATACCTCATCATTATTGTTTGTCGATCCCCCCCCAACCTCCTCCCACTCCCTGATGATCCATTCTTTTTCTTTCATGACTTGTCTTCATCTTAATCTATCCAATCCAATCCAAACTTTTTGTCTTTTTATTATTTATTTATTTTCTTTCTCTCTCTCATCTTTCATCCTTATTTGAATTTCAAGGAATCTTGCGCTGTTTGGCTTGGAGCTATTACTTGGATAGGTTCTTTTCCAAGTAGAGATATGCCACGTCCTTGATTGTGCCTGGGGTTGAATTTCCGGTAGACCAGATTTGACTGCTTGAACAACTGAGCTGACTGCCCTGCAATTAAATCGCTTGAATGATCCGAAAAATACTCGGATTTAGCGGGTCCGATGAGCCGCACTGCTCGGTCCAGCTCCAATGTTTTGCCAGAGAGCGCTTGGGCAGGAGAACTTAACCTTTTCCCAGAATATCACCTCTCCTACAAATCATCTTCTGTCGCTTGCTTCAGCTATATCACTCCCATACCCTTCATCAAGTCTTGAGCCCTGTCCTACCAAAGCGTGAACACTGTGACCCGCATATTTCCACCTGGCCACCAGGACTCCCCACAACCATTGATCAAAACTACCCATACCGACCAGATTGCACCGACCGTTCCATCCAGGTGGGTTCTTTTGCACAGTAAAATTCCTATGTCAAGTTCAACCTAACCCTTTGTGCTGGTCTATCAAACATATCCTATTGTATCCTATCAAAGCTCAATCGGCCCAACATACGTCCAGCGCATGTGTAACTATCATCAGACCAACTTTCCAATTTCATTCTGACAGGGTCATTATGACTTTAACGGTCGATCAACCTCCTGTGTCTGGTACCCTTGCCCAACGGATTCGTCGCAGGCGTAACGCAGATAGGATTGCCGCCACTCGAGCTCGATTTTACGGTGGGCAGGTGGCCAACCGAAATTCTGTAAGGCGCCAGCAGCAACATCAAGAAGGTGTCAGCGACACCATCATGAACAACAATGACCATTTCAATTCAACCGAAGATGATCCTGTTGATTTCACCGTACATGAAGACCCAACTGACGACACCGATTGGATCACTATCCCTGCTGATGACGACGACGACTTTGACCGAGCTGCCTTTGCTGATCGGGAAAGGTGGCGACAGGAGGCCAAGGAGGTCAACTGGAACACTGTCCTTGAACCGCTTCATGCATATTACATGGACTTGAAGGCACGGACTAAGAATTGGACTGACCGGGCAAACTCTTACAACGACCATACAAATTGCAAATGTGCCCCTCACCTACTCACACACAGAATGGTGGACCTCGTCGACATCCATGGTGAGTACCATTTGGTTGAACATACTTTGTTCTGAAGGACTGGTTGAAAGGCTAACCAAGATGTGTACATTGATACCAATTAGGCCAGCAAAGAATCCACTTGCCATTCTGCCGATGCACTAGTGATGCAGTTCGCTTACTTCAGCAAGGCTTCCTACCGGCTACACCTATTCGACCCCAGACGGCTTTTTCTCTCCCACTGTTGACATTCCATAACTCATTATGGAATCACTGCCATGTAGGGGCCCAACCTTTTACCCTCGCACTCAATGAATGGTTGGAACCTCGATCAGAACGTCTACATGCCCGTGGGAAGAAGCACGTAAGTGACTTGAATGCTTAGAAATTATTTGGATGTGCTTGCTCACTTAGCTGGTCTAGGCTCGTGAGCTCCGGAAGCCCTTCTCTGCCACTGTCGACCTGTATCGAACGTTGGAGAACATGACAGACGAGCTGGTATTCAAGGCTTTACGGTTGGATCCCCAAGAAATTCTTGCATCTGAAAATTGTCCAGCTTGTTTTGGCCCCCGCCCGCCCAACGCTGAAGACTACCCGTCCCATACGCGAGATAAGCTCATTGTATGTCTTGACGGTAACTTTCAGCATCGTCACCATACCAAAGCCAGCCGCGACTATCGACCAATAGAGACCCCTCGAATTTTCCTCCCTCCGAGTGAATTTGCAAACATGAAAACGACTATCCGAGATAAAGAGATTGAACTAAGTCCCCCAGCAAGGGTTAGTAGTAATATCTTCATTTTTGTTATGATACGCTTTCCTGTGCAGTACTCAAAAATGACTCAGCAGGCCGATCGATGTGCCGATTCCCACAAGGCTGCTGACGATAAGCGAAATGAGTCGACATGGAAGGGCTGCGATGACACAGGGCTCATCGGCTGCTGCTGTCGCCATGACTCAGCAATACACATGGGTAATATTTACAAATCTGGCGAGCAACGGTGCCTGCCAATTGCCATCATCAACAAGTTATTGGCCGAGTGCGAGGGTGAACGTCAAATCGGCATCCTTTATGACATTGGCTGTTCTCTCGACAAGTACATGCGTGCGGTAAGTACCTCCCTCTATCTTGTTCGACTGCAAGATCACAAACTGATTGGCTTTTGAACTAATTAGAGGGACCTCCTAGGCGAACATCGGTCTCGACTCTCGTTTGGGACCTCAGTGTTTCATGCATACGTGCACAACTGGATATGCCAACTTGATTATCATCCACGACTTAACAATGGTTGGGGCCTCTCAGACGGAGAGGGCCTTGAACGCTTATGGTCATACTTATCTCCCTTGGTCAGCCCATTGAGGTATTCTACTCGCAACCACCGCTTAGCTTCAATTGCCCATCGGTTAAAGTATCACAACTGGAAGGGCAAACGGGATCTACGTGAGTCAATCTTGATATCTTACATTGTTGTGGATCAGTCGTTCATTTGAGTTACACTGATCATTCTTTGCTTACATGCACCCAGCTGCATGGTTAAAAAGGAAATTCAATGCAGCACTCAAGCGACGAGATGAAGCAAGATTGGTACTGAGGGGCCTCCAGGAGATACAAAACCCCTACGCGGCATCTGGTGTGACTTACACAAAGTCATTTTTTGAGTTTCAGTGGCGAGAACAATGTGCATTTCAAAAACAACATACCGAAGTTGAACAAGAGCGTCGAAGTAAATTAGTCAGCCTGTACAAACAAGAGGCTGTTGTGGAACTCTTACGGTAGGGTGCTTTTGATTGAGCTTTGTTACAATGACATGGCTGACCCAATTCCCTGTATCTATCCAGAACGCGGCTCAGAGGGCCTGAGATTTTTCTAGCAACCGAACAGCAGGTCTTGGATCTTCTGGCATCGATTAATGAGCACTCAGAACAACTAAGGCGCCAGCTGGATGAACTCACTGGCGAGCATGGGATGCAGGCTGTCATGAATGGTATGTTAGTTAGACTCAATAGTGGTATGTGTTCGGCCAGCCCTCTAACTACATTTGATTGCATGGAACAGATGAGGAGTCAAAGCTTCTCTTGCTGCTTTGGGATGCCAAAGCAGATTTGTTTGTTCAGGCAGTGCACATTCAAGCCGAGAACAGACCAATTACCGATTCAAAAACAATCGGCGCTCACCTAGGCACCAAGCTCAAAGAGAAAATCTTCAAGGCTTCACAAGCCAGAAGGCCAGCAGTGAAGAAGCACATCGACCATTTCAATCGGTGCTACTTGAACTACGTTACGAAATTCCCCGACCAAACCTTGAGTGATGCGGCCGACTATCCCCTGACGTATGATAACTTTGTTGCTTTCCCACTCGATCATCGCTTTTGGAATGATGGGTTATACTATCATTCCAAAGCCCCATGGGCAATTGATGCAGATGTCCGTGCGGGTATAACAGCGATGTTAAATCTGAGTCGTGTCCAAGAGGAGTTCCAACTCTTGGCTCAAGAGTTGTGCCGAGCGATTGGCTGGGGTGTTTCTTACTACAATCGGTTGACACAGACGATTGACTACCTCACTGGGCGTAGGTTTTTCTTGCTTGTCATTTGATCTGATTTTTCCTTGCTGATTGTTGGTTGTACAAAGGTGTGGAAGCCTTCAATCTAGATGTGGAGCCTCGACCAGATCATATTGATTCATTGTCCTTATACAAGTTTCCAAGAAAGCATAAATACAAAGTTATCTTGAGAGAACTGCGGCGCCGACTAGCCTCTCATGGAACTCTGATGGACGAGTGGTCTGAGAAGGTTCTCTGGCTCTGGGATCGATGCCAACCTGCGGGGAACCAGGGGTTCATATTGACGTGGACCGATATGATGGATAAGATCAATCGCAGCAACACAATCAACTCAGATGTCCTAGCAGGTGTAGATGAGGAATATGAGGAAACAGTGCTTGAGGTTGATTTGGATGATGGGGAAGATGCGGAGGCAACATTAATATCTTCACTGGGTGGTGATGGCGCCTCGGCAGGTGTCAATGCAGGGCACCCAGTTGATCTTCCTTGATTCTAATTATTGTTTCTACTGTTGTAATTTCACTATGACCACTGCTGCGGTCCTCCCCTGAAAATACTTTCTATGTGTTGAGTACTTCAATCGCAAGGTGGATTTTCATATACAGCTATTTACAAGAGATGTGGGCAAGAACTCATTGGAGTCACCAGTGAACTGAGTAATGGAAATGTATGTGCACGTTCAAAATTATACAGAGGGCCAAGAACAAATAAGTGGTCACAGTTCTGCCGTGATGGATGATCGGAATGATTTTTCAGTGGTTCTCTGACCTCTTGGGTTTTGTTGGAATTTCCCATAAAAGACACAAGATGGAGAAAAAGTTCCTTGATTATAGTGGCAAAACTGCTGATGTAGGCTGATAGACCACGCAAAATGAACGGCTGGGTTATGTATGTAAGCTGGGTTCTAGGCTTATGTTATCAGACAAATCACCCAGCTCCCAATTGGCCAATTTCAAGAGGCCCCATCTAATGCCTAAATTACAATCAAAATCTGCTTCTCCTTGCTTATTTTCAAATGAATGCCCTTTGAGATAACACAAAGGAACATGCACTTGTATGTATTATTTTCTAATTTCATCTACTTATATCAACAGAAGTCCTGCATGAAAAGATCTCCATAAAACACTCAGGGGCAACAGGATTGTTTCCCATCAAGGCAGTGTGAAAAGTGTGAACATGACCAGCTTGACAAGGCCTGGGGTTTTAGATTTGCACTAAGCTTGATTGCACTCCACATCAAACAGAAGAAAACCCATGGCTTTTCTTCTGTTTGATGTGGAGTGCGTATTTAATAACAGCGTTGAAAATAATTCATGTACTGGCCAGATGATTTATGACTATAAGCATGCCTCAGAATTTGCTTATATGTAATCATATATAAGCATGGCTCCCAAAACAAGGCAGATAGTAGTGACAGGACTGGAAATAAGAAGGTATTGTTGGCTGAGAAGGGTAGACTGGCTTCAGCTTCTTCTAAATTAAATTACTTTTTTGTTGTTTCTTCTTTAGATGATTTCACATAAACGCCTGGTTTGAATGTGTTACATGATTTGATTCTTTTAACCTCTGCTTCTATTCTTTTATTAAACTATTGGTTTATATAAAAGAAAACTTGGGGTTATATATAACTATAAAAACTGTGGTTTGATCCTTTTATCCTCTGGCTCAATATTTTTAAACCCTTGGTTTAAATAATCCGCTCTGCCTTTGTGCACTCCCAAGATTTCCCCCATGTACACCAGAAAATTTGAGCAATCCAAATAATCCCAGAGAATCCCTGATTTGGTGTGGAGTGCACAGCAAAAGGGGAAAAGTTGAATAATTTTGGAATACATGGTTGCAAAGAACCATGCATTCCACAGATATGCACTAGATATGCACTCATGTGAATATTGGAGTGCGTGGGCAAGTACAATTTGACTGCCAAGGTATTTCTGGGTGTTTCAATCCAGCTGACTCCAAAATATCTGGAGTGCACAGAGCTCCCCTCCGAAAATTGGGGATGTTTTCTTAGACCCTTGGGCTGATAATCATATTATAAATAATTCCTGGTCTTTTGGATTCATGGCCTGTTTGATTTGTGGGACTGAACAGAAAAAGATGTTGTTGTGTAAATTTTGGACACCTTAAGGTGCAGCTCAACAGAGAGGGAGAATTTTCATTTACTTTTTGGAATCCACACTCACCTGCTTATACACAGTCAGGCCCATCTTGGGTGATATCAGCCCAAGGGTCTAAGAAAACATCCCCAATTTTGGCAGGGAAGCTCTGTGTACTCCAGATAATTTTCAGTCAGCTGGATTGAATCACCAAGAAATACCTGGGCAGTAAAATTGTACATGCCCATGCACTCCAATATTCACATGAGTGCAAATCTATTTACACAATTGGGTTGAATCTTTAACCTTTGTTTTCAATCTTTGATTTTTCTAAAACTCCTGGCTAAATGAAACTGGTCACAGCATCCAGCAGTCAAAATTCACACAGCAGGTAACTATGGCCATTCAATTGCCATATTGTATACAGTGCCCTCACGCTCATTGGTACTACACCTCTGGGCCAGGTCATATTTTGTCCTCTTCCAATGATTCCTTTCCCTTTCTTTGCTTTTGAATAACATTTTATAATACAACACAAGTGATTATATGTACATACACATTCAGTTACAATCTAATTCATGTTTTATGACACTCATGCACCAAGGACTCACATCCCAAGAGCTGCCTTAATAGAGGGGTGAATCATTACCAGATTACCCCCAGAGGACAAAAAGTCCATCTTTTTTATCCTTTTACCATATGGACTCGTGGTTATAGATTTGGTTTCTGCTACCTATGTAGGACCCAAACATGTATATTGGGGTATGTAGCCCTTTTTTGAGCTGACTATCATACAGGCAAAAGCTCAACAGAATTTTTGCAGGTGAGCTCTTGCACACAAGAGGGTCATGGCACTTTTGGATGGTCATTGCATTCATCTGGTCTGAAAGAGTAACAATGAAGTGACTGTACATAAAGGAAAGGAAATGAATTTTCAAGTAGAAAGCTGTGATGATTGGACTGGGGCTTTTGATTTATTAATAGTGACATTCAAGTTATACTCAGCCCCCGCAATGTGCATGTCTTTCCGGTTATCGAATTCGCCTCCAGTTATCCGGTCCGATATATTCACCATTTTCGCAGATATTTGTAAAGACAAACCCAATCTTGTGAATGCGGAGGGTTCTGATGGAGCCAGAGTGCAATGAGAGTATTCACGTTGGCTGAAAATCATCTGACACATCGTATTCGGTCGAAACTTGATTCCAAATTGACAGTCACGGAAAATGAAAGGCCCTTCAGTTACGTCGTATTCGTCGGCTCCATACGCAAGGAGACCAGTTTCCTTCGAGATTGGCAGGGAAAGGAGAAAGGCAAATGGCAGGGAGGCATGGTCGTTTTTGTCTTCGTGTGGATGATTGAAAAATCCATTTGATGTGAATGTCAAGTTTGAGGAGAAGAACTCTTTGGACGGCTTGGATTTATCATTGGGAAATTCGGCCTCGTAGAACCCCGGGATATTGTGCTCAATCATAAATTGTTGGTTCTTTTCGAGGGCAATGTTGCCAACTGGATGAAACAAATCCCAAACAATTCGGCCAGCTCTCTCCGCATCGCCCAGAAATAGACGATAATCTTTCTTATTTTTCTTGATAGCATCCCAGTTCCGATACATTCCCACAATTTCCAAATTCGTCATCGATTTTCGCCAACCGATCGCCCACATCTTGCCCGCACACAAACGACTGGGTGAAGAAACCGGATTGACGAAGCGTTTGGAGTCTTGCAGGAATTTGCAGAGGAAGTTTATATCGCCAATTTGAAGGGGGGTCAGTTTGGTAAGATCCGTAAAGTGAATGGCGGCGATTATCTTGTCTTTGACCTTTGGATTACTGTTGTCGAAGACGGTAACATGACCATGGTCGTATAAATCAAATGAATCGTGGACTCGATCGTAAGCCTGCTTGATCTCCTCAGGTGTAGGCTTCCTTTCGTAGATCGTAGTGGCAGGTGGCTGAGGTCCAATTTTCTTTTCAAAATTCTCCTGGGCAATACGGCGCTCTTCCTTCCTAATCTCGAAATCTTGTGTAACTTCAGGGTACAGAACAAATGGCTTTGGTGTCCTGCGAGAAATAACAAAGGGTCCTTGGAGCGGGAGGTTGGCCAGATGAGATTGGATGGCTTTAACACAAGCATTGCGCCTCCTCTGAGGCCGATGTCCTTGAGACTTTTGCTTCCTGTAAGACTTCTGGTAACTGATGCAAAGTTCAACATAGTTCAGGCATTAGCAAAGTCTTTCAAGCAGGAGTCCAAATGTCTCAATAAAGATACCCACGATGACTTGATCTTTGATTCCTTTTTGACAACGGTTTTCAAATGCTTTTTGCTGGTAGTCTGACGATTCGGAGCTTGACCCGCGACAGTGCCTTCATGGGATACCTGATCCTTCAACGATGCAATCGGTTGGTCATCAGAATCAGAGCTGATGCTTAACTCAGTAAGGGTCGAAGCGAGGTCGGATAGTGAACGCCGATGTATCATATTCCCTGGATTTAAATCGGAGACCAACTCAGAGGAGTTCGCAGCTTGGTTCAAGTTGTGTTTAGTCATTGCCGGATTTAGATCGACCGAGTCAGAGGTGTTCCTTCGTGGCTTGGTTCAAGTTGGTTTTAGTCAAGTCTGGATTTCAATTGGAGACCGAGAGGTGTTCGTAGTGGTTCAAGTTGCTTTTGCTAAATCTCAGGTAAAAAAAAAAAAAAAAAAGTGCTCGTGGGGCTGCGGAATCGGAGTAACCCCAACCACATTTGGATTAGTCATCACTTCCTCCTCCTTAAATCAAGTTCAACCCCTACAAGCCGAATCGCTTCCCCATCTCTCCCGAACCAGACAACATGATATTGCATTGCCGTGCTTGGTGGCAAAGCTATGATTGTTGTCTATTTAGTTCGGGAGGGTCAACTGAGATTGAAAATTGCTTTGATTGTAAGAGTGATATCTCATCTGACTCCATCATGAACCCCTCCCCCCCCCAGCTCAAACCGAATACAATCCTGATCCTGATTCCTGACAAAGTTTGTAAAGGTCGTCCTCCATCTACCACCATCCCTGATCAACTGGCCCACCAAAAGCCAACCGCTACCCATTCTCAAGATTGGATCACACTCATCAAACATGGCGACAGTGTATTCGTCGATAAGGTCCGATATCCTCAAAACTCAGGTGCCCCAGCTGTCGTCGTCTGTGACTGGCAACAATCACCAACGATATCATTCTCCCAACCATCCTCTCCTCAACTCACGATCTACGTTCCAGCAGATACCAGCAATCTCACCATCCCAAGCGTCTTCGTAGCTAGCGAAGAGATAGCTATCTCAGTCTAAGGCAGGATTGGAAAGGAATCTCGGCCATCTCCAACCAACCATTTCCGCATCAACCTACTGCCGATCTAGATCATCTTCAATAATCGGAAGTCGTTATTCGGTTGGTCGTCTATCCTCGGCCGCGATTGATCCAATGATCAAGGACGCTGAATCCTTCAAAGAGGCTGACAAAGAGTTTTCTGCCAAGTCTTAGAATTAGCAGGTCGAAGCTCGAGGCTTGGGTGTGGATCACCCCAAAAATCTTCATGTCGCCCAAGAGCGGACGCTTAGGCAAGGCATTCGGCAACTCGATGGACTGTTGACTCGCTCGTTGTGGAATCACCACTACGCTCGAACTTCAATTACCCGGCTATTGTCCGGTGCCGTTTGGCTGTAGAGAATCGCGGCGATCGGTGTCCTGAACTCGGCAGCGCACACGAAACACTTCATGATCTTCTTGGCAAGGACGAATGGCAATCCGACACATCGTTGTGAGGATGAGAGGAGAGGCGTTGGGGAGGAGCCAGTTATTGCAGAGGCCCAGACATTCTTGGCCCGAAACTCATAGTAGTCGCCTTCGTTCAGATCGGTAATAAAAAGGAAACATCCCTCGACGATCATCGCAACTCCACTCATCCTCCAATATATCTTTTTTTTCTTCGATCGTATTGAGATCACCAAATCCATTCAAATCCATCACTGCAACTCTCCCGATCCCAATCCTACCTCGTCTCGCATATGACACTCGGGTTCGGTCTCCGGTCTGAATCCCACACCTCTCAAAGCCTACCACATCCTCCGAGTCGCTGAAGGCTCTCCTGCCGCAGAGGCGGGTATCGAGCCGTTTTTCGCTTACATCGTCGGGATCGGTGGTAAACAAGTGGGTAGAACTCTTTACATAATCTGATTGCTTATGAATTTGTAAATGGTAAGGAGCATCATTAAAAAAATGTAATGACAACGATTCGCTCTCTTTTTTTCCTTTCAAGGCTGATTTTGATGCTCTCAATCACAAAAGGTCATTACCATTTGTTGTACCTACCTCGATTGAATCTGTCCACACAAGCCATCCCCGGCCCAACGGAGGAAATAATGGACGTGCACCGGTCCGATCGAAGCCACCGACCTTGTGCTCGAACACAGGAGGAGCTCACAGACCGAAGCAGTCTAACGCGTCGCTCGAGCCCACCAGGCTCAAACCCAGACTCCCCTCCACAGCGCTCATCTCCAAACACAAGCCGGTCCGATTGGCGCGTCGGAACGAGAGTCTGTTGAGCGTCAACGGAAGCCCGGCGGTCTCATATGCCCCCAACGAAATACCAGGCTTGCCCAACTCAACATCTGCAGCTACCATCATCAGCTCCAAGTCCTCCGAACTCTTTCCCGCCAGATCGACCTCTTCGTCTAGTCTAGCTCTCGACCATCATCATCTAATTTGTTGTACCTACCTTGAGTTGATCAAAGCGGGTTATCAGTCAAACAGACTTTGCCCTTGTTTGACTTGTGAGAGATAATCCTCAAAACTGTTACTTGAATGAAATGAAGCAAAAAGTGGAGTGGTAATTCCAAAAAAAAAAATTAAAACAAACCGGTGGATATCTAAACCCTGTTGTTGCAGATGCAGGTGCTCCGTCATTAGAAATGTTGATTGGTGTAGCAAAGCGTCAATGGGGTAGAATTGATGGTTGTTTAGTGACCCATTGGTAACCATGACCCAAGTCAACTGCACTTCATTTTTTGCCCAAAGTCGTGTTGGGAGCAGCCGCTCGAGAAAGATGTTTTTGCACATATGTATCTCATTTTTCAAGTCCTTCTCATATGCATATTCAGATCAAAGGGGGGGGGGGGGAAGATGTCACCCTTGTGTTTGAGTATAGGAGTTAGGGTTTCCCTGGGGAAGAGGTGACACTCGGACAGGCAAACTTGAACCTTTTCACTTTTTCTTCTTCTATATCACAAATAACAATCTTTCTTCCAGAACATATCTAATTGTGTCCCGTTGCAATGTTCAACCCCCATGCCTCCCAACAGCAACTGGCCGGCAGAAATCTAAACCCTCAATATCAACCAGCAAACACCTCCAGCCACCCGATAAACTTAGGGCAGCAAGCTCAGGCCACATCTCGATCCCAACATAGAGTCTATGTCGCTAATATCAATCATCAAAGGCCTAGTCCAGCCCCCATTCACCCTCAATCTCAGCAAGGCATCTACGCATCTGATATCCATCATCAAAGGCCTAGTCTGGCGCCCAGTCACCCTCAATCAAACTACGTGATGAACGAAGGACGGCCAAATCAAAATCCAAATCAATCTCAGCACAGTATCCATCGTCAAAGACCTAGTCAGTCCAACCACCCCATGAACGCAGGACAGCAAGCTCAGGCCCCAACCTATGTCGATAGCAGCCATCATCAACGTCCTGGTCCGGTGGCGCAACTGAGTCGCTCTCATGGTCTTCAACCGCTGCCGGTCAATCCTGTGGTCCAGCCACAGTTGCATCATCAAACCCATCACCCCAACTCATTGCACCAGACTCAGCAACATCCTGCCCCCCCACGAACGGCATTATTGGAAGCTCATAAGCAACCGTCACGGACTCAGCCCATTTTGCCAGGTCATAGAAGCACGCTCGGCCACACTGTCAATCAACCGAGCTCTTCGCAACCTCAGCACCATGTTTCATCACAATTGTCATACCAAGCCACCAATCTACATCAGCCCACCACTTCCACCGTCCAAAT